CCCCCCCCCGTCCCCTCCTCCTTCAATCCTGGGCATTCACATGCCGCAGTCCCCCGGGTCGCTCCTTTCCGGGCTCGGGCTCGTGCGCGAGCACACCCGGCCCCTGACGGACAAGGACCGAAAGAAGCTCTTCCCGCCGGAGATGCCCGCCGCCCAGGCGGTCCTCGAGGAGCATCTGGCCACGCTGGCCGGCGGCTCGTCGTCCTCCTTCGCCTCCTCCTTCTCGTCGCTCTTCTCGTCGTCCTCCTCCTCCTCGCTCACGTCGTCTTCCTCCTCCTCCTCGCTGTCGACCGCCGGTGCTCGTAGCCCCGATCCGCCATCCAGCAAGAAGGACTCCACCACCCCGTCCAAGAGTGGTCGCTGGCTGCGCCTCGGCAGCAGCAGCAGCAGCAGCAGCAGCAGCAGCAGCAGCAGCAGCAGCAACAATGGCGCCCAGGCAGCAGCCGCCCCTGTGCCGCCTGTGACTCCCCCCGCCCCGGCCACCCCGCCGGCGGCCGGAGCTCTGAGCCCCATCCCCACCGGCACCGCCACCTCGCCCACCTCGCCGCAGGCCCCGCCCGGGGGCGCCCCCCCGCGCCATCATCAGCCCTTCCCCGTGCTGCCCCCCACTCGCGGGGTGTATCTCGGCGAGCGCTACGGCGACTTCACCGAGCTCGGCTGCCTGCCGTCCGGCTCCTTCGGGCCGCTGGCCATGCCGCTGGACCACCTGTGCCCGCACCCGGCCTTCGGCCAGCCCGGCCGCGGGGTGGACCTCCTGCGCCAAAGCAAGGCCGAGTACAAGTGGATCAAGGAGCGCCTCGGCCACATGGCCAAGACCCCGCCGAGCCGCATCCAGAGCGGCGTGGCCTCCCTGCGCATTCTCGGCCTGTGCGACCTGACCCCCGGCGTGTCGGTGTGTGTCATCACCCGCGAGGTGTGCACCTGTGAGCGGCCGGTCGGCAGCCTGGCCTCGCCGCTGGTCGGCGCCGATGCCGTCCTCAGCCTGCCCTCCATGTATTACATCCACTTCTTTCACCCGTGGCTGCCCTCGGTACGGGGCCCCCTTCCCCCGCCCGCGCTTCGCGTCCCGCTCCCCATGCGACTGACACGTTGCCTGGCCTTCCCTCATGGTGTCCGCCCCCCCCCCCCCCCCTCCCTGTCGGCCAGGGCACCCCCTGGTTCCGCGTCCCCCTGGACCAGCGCTCGCACTTCCTCACCGGGGCCAGCATCCGCAAGGCCTTCGAGGGGTCGGCCACCGACTTCGACCGGTTCCTGGTCCTGCGCTACAGCGCCCGGATGTACTACCCCCCCTTCGACCCCGGCGTCCGCGAGGGGGTCTACTACTCCAAGTACCTGGAGTTCGCCACCGAGGCCGACGCCGAGCACATCTTCTCTCTGGCCTCCTGGCTGATGCCCTCGGCCCAGATGGACCGTGCTCGTGCCGCCCGCGACAGCGTCATCATCTGCCAGGCCACCTGTCGGGCGTTCATCCTCCGGCGGCGCTTCGTCCAGGCGGCCACCGCCGCGCGGCTGATCCAGCGCGTGTGGCGCCGCTACAAGTGCGTTCGCCGGCCCACCCCAGCGGTCCACCGCCTCCCGCCCCCGCCCC